GACCGGTGCTTCTTCTTGGCCGCCTGTTTCTGTTTTGGAGGAGAATTCCCCTTGGACTTCTTGACATAGGAGTCAAGATCGTCTTATCTGCCAGGCGGTCCAGAAAGCGTTTGAGGCTTATACACTCATTGGTTTCATGATCAATGTCTTCATGAAAATGGCAGAATTTTCTTTGGTTCCGGTTGCTAACCGAACCTTTCATGGAGTCCGGCTTCTCAATTGAGATCCGGCCCTTGATTTCATTGAGGATAGCGTGGCTATCCTTGTTGAACTCATACTTGGGAGAGTATGGTTTATATTCTTTCTTCTTTTTTTGGGACGGCTGTTCAGAGGAGTCGGCCGCCCATATTTCTTTTCTCTTTTTCTCTTCTTTATTTGCCGACTGCTTTTGTCGGCTTTCTCTTTTGTCGGGCCTCTTGCTGTCCGACTGCTTCCCAGTACTACAGAGGTCGGTTGCCTGAATACAGGCATCCGCCTCCATCATGGCCTCTTGGAGGGTAGTCACCCTCTTTCTGACAAGGTCAAATTTGAAGTTCGACCCGTCTTTAAGTCCTCTGAAAAAAAATCAGTATAGGACTACCTCATCCGGCAGCCCTTGTATCTGAATCCTCATTAGGTTAAACCGCCTAATGTAGGAATGAAGTCCCTCCTTCTCTCCCTGCTGTATGGTTCCCAAATCAAGGGTCGTCTTCTTAGCAGGAATATTCATCGCAAAATTGGAGGTAAACAAGTAGGCGAGGGTCTTGAAATTGTTTACGCAACCAGTCGGCAAATTGCCGAACCATTGTTGAGTAATGCCCTTTAATGTGGCTGGGAAGCACTTACACCATGTGGGATCATCCAACCCTTGAAGGTACATAAGATTGGTGAACGCCATCATATGATCTTCTGGGTTTGTAATGCCATCATAGGCTCCTACCAACACATTATTCACTTTGGCCGGCTGGGCGGCCTCAATTATTTCCTTGGAGAAGGCGGACGGCTGTTCTCCAAGTCTAAGCAACCTAAGTTGCCAGTCCAAAGGTTGGACGTTTCTTGCCGCCTGTCCTCCAAACAGAGTAGGCTGCATGAAATATTGAGGTTGCGGCACGTATGGCTGGGGTAGCACATACGGAGTCGCCTGGTTTTTCTAGGAGCCGGACCGGTGGGAGGTACCGCCTGTCTGGCTCTTAGAATTCGAATTCGAATACCTCAAGGAAGTATTATTTAAACTGTCTTGAAAATCAGACGTAGAGGCCGACTCTGACAGTCGGTCATTCTTCTTCTGCTCTAGCAACATTCAAGCATCGGAATATGTTTTCTTCGACCCATCCGGTTGAATATGACGGATGGGCTTTCTCTTTCCTGGTGAGGGAAAGCGATACTTCGTTAGGTCGATCACTGGCGGATGCCTTGCCTCAGGCTTTGGGTAAGGGGTCGCCTCACGATCTTTTACAAGCTTCTTCCTCCCAGACTGGGAGGGTCTTCTGGCCGACTGCTCCTTGGATGAAGCAGACGTCTTCTTATTGATGAGATCCTGGATCTCCCCTTTGAAGCTATTCATGAAAGTCATGAGTTCACTTCTAGTGATGGGGGCAGATCCCTCGGCCGCCTGTTGATGATCAAGCGGCTGGCCGACAGATTTACTAGATCTAGCCAGGCAATCCTGTCGTTCCTTCCTTTCGGAGGAACGAGTTCGTCGAGCTCTTAAGGTCCCGTCTAGGGCCGTGTGAGTCTCGACCTCAACCTCATTGTCAGTATCCTGGTCACTATAGACCTGAGGGTCGTCCATAGGACGCTTCTCGCTTTGATTCGGTACAGACTGTGATGCCATCTCGAAAGTACTCTCCCCACAGACGGTGCCAAAATGTTTCGGGGTTTTCTGATGTCCTACGGGAGAGTTACAATTCTGGGACTGGTATCCTTGCGCCTGTGCCTGCAAAACAACGGAGACTCCTTGTGGCGGGAGCTCCGCCTCCGACGATCAAGTTAGTACTTGTTTGAGGAGTAAATAAATGCGGAAAAGTAAAGGTGGGAGATCTGGTTCCTCAAGGGGAGGAGTGATCAGTGTGCTTAGTTTTCTCTAGGTGAGAGTAATTAATTGCTGAATCCCCCTTTAATGAGGATTAATTAATGTATTTATAGTCTTGGGCAGCGTGCCCAATCCTAAGTTTAGGTCAACTTAGAGCTGATTGGGCTTTTCCCGGAAACTGGGCCTAGGTGGCCATTTTCCTAGGTGGCAAAAAGCAGGCCACTTAGCGTGGCATGATTGGTCCTTGGTGGACAAATGACTGTGTGCCACGTGGCAGGCCCCTGAGAGGTCCAAATGGAGGGCACTTGGCAGGACCTGATTGGTCCACGTGGCGTACACTGATTGGGCGGGGAAAAACCCCCTAATCACAACCCAGCCAAAAATTTCCCAATTCCATCCATACGACTTTACCTACAACTATGAGAGGGATAGGGATGAACTAGGGAAAATGATAGTACAAGCCGAACAACCTTTTCTTTTCTTCGAAAGTGACCCATTTAACAGTTACATTAATAAAGCATTACAACCCCAACATAAAAGAATGTCTAGGAAAACCGTTCGTTCCGTCGCCATGAAAAACTTCCTACAGTACAAAATGCGGTTACAAGACATATTGAGTGAATTTAATTGTAGAGTGTCTTTGACTGCCGATTCTTGGGATATTGGTTATAAATATCACTATTTATGTGTGACTTGCCATTGGGTAGATGATCAATGGTTGTTACAAAAACGAATAATCCATTTCAAAATGCTAGAATACCCCCACATTGGTATTAACATTGTTCTCCATTTAATGGAAGCTATAAATGAATACAACCTTGGAGAAAAAATCATGTCTATGACATTTGACAATGCAAGCTCAATGACATATACTGCTAATTTAGTGAAACAAAATTTAACCGATGTAATATTAGATGGTGACGCACTTCATACTAGATGTGTTTGCCATGTTCTTAACTTATGTGTACAAGATGGAATTAAAGCAATTGGTCCATATTATAACAAAATAAGAGAAGCTATTATGTCTATTAATAGCTCAAATATGAGATACCAAGAATGGAAAGGTTTTCTAAGACAACAAAAGATAAGAGCAATAAAAATCAAAACCGATAGTCCAACTAGGTGGAATTCCACCTATGACATAACAATTGAATATAAGAATCCCTTAACAATTTTTTACAACGGAAAATTTTCAAACAATGCTTTATATGAGGATGATTGGTATAAATGTGAAAGATATATGCAATTTTTACAATTATTATATAACATGACATTTTGTTTTTCTTCTGTTTATAATTCTTATGCTCAAAACTTTCTTTCAACTTTATGTTTACTCGCCCAGCTTTTCTCTAATCATCGCAACCAAAGTGATTATGATCAATATCTTCCAGCAATGGAAACAAAGTGGCGTAAATTTTATACTGAAATTCCTTTAATTTATATTTTTGCTTCCATATTAGATCCTAGGCAAAAGTATGAAAATACATTTATGTTAGTTAACATTTATTTTCAATGCATGCTTATTGACGATAATGTAGAAACCTATAAGAGTAATGTGAAGGATTAATTTTTTGCTTTATATAGAGTTTATGAAACCAAATATGGCACCGTTCCTCGCTCGGGCCCTTCCCAACCATCCAAAAATGTAAGTAAAAAGGCCAAGCATTTATTTTCACAAGCTACTAACTTGATTTCAAGGTTTTCAGGTGATTCATCAATAAGGAAAACGCAAAGCAATGTCTCGAAGTTGCAAATGTACCTGAGTTACGACTTCACCAAGGGCATGGACGACGATGAGATAAACAGGCTCGACCTCCTTGCATGGTGGAAACAACAAAGCTCGAAGCATCCAACTTTAGCGGCAATGGCACGAGACATTCTTGGTATCCAAGTCTCCTCCGTTGCCTCCAAACGAGCTTTCAGCGCATCCGGGAGGGTTTTAGACGATAGAAGAACAAGTCTAAAACCCGAAACACTTGAAATGTGCGTGTGTTTCAAAGATTGGTTGGATGCTAAAAATTGCTCACAAGACCGTACTTACGACGACAACGACAACGATGAAGGAACCTCCGCTTCCGACCGTTCGGGTTCGACTAATTCCCAATCTATGCAAGTAGCCGATCAACTTGAACGTGAAGACGAAGAAGAAGAAGAAGATGAAGAACTATAAATAGATTATATACTTCTAATTATAGACAATTTTTGTATAATATCCTTATACGAAATAATTATCATTGTACGATTTTTATCATTATTACTTATTAGATTAATATCAAACATTTATACTAGAGTTTTTTTTTTTTTTTTTGAAATTTATATCTTCCAACGTTAAGAAGTATGTATTTATTTGTAATATTTCAAGTAATAATAATATGAAGTATGCATTAATCACATTCAAAGAATCAAAATCCAATTTCCTCTTTTTTTTAGCCGTTAAGATTTGAAATTTTCATCTTCGCCATTAAGAAAATAATATAAACAAAATAAGTTAATAACTATAATAAATATAAATTATAACTATTAAATAAATAATTATAACTATAATAAATATAAATTATAATAATAAAAAGTGATAAAAAGTATAATAATAAAATAAATAAATTATAATAACAAGTATAATAATTAAATAAATAAATTATAATATTAATAAGTAATAACAAGTATAATAGTAAACTTAATTATAAATTATAATAATAAGAAGTAATATTAATAAGTAATAGCAAGTATAAAAATAATAAATTATAATAACAAGTATAATAATTAAATAAATAAATTATAATAATAACAAGTATAATAATAAACTTAATTAATTAATTTATAATAATAAGAAGTAAACTTAATTAGTTAGTTATTAAAAAAATAATGTGTTGTTTTATTTTTTTTTGAAAAAAAATAAAAAAATGAAGAACGCGCTCGGCATGGCACACCCGGCACGTGGATCATGCCGGGCCGTGGCTGACCTGGTGAAAATGGCGGCACGGCACGGCCCGCGACAGCCCGGCCTGGCCTGTTGCCCTCCTTCACTCACAAGTTCATAAGTAGAACCATTGAAATAAACGAACGCATAAATGTTTTCAAAAAACGCGCGCTCTCATATTCTCTCTCCTCTATTTCTCCCTCAATAACAAACTCTCCCTCCAAAGTTGAACAACACAGCGAAAATCCATCAACAGCAACTTTCGACGTATTGAGAAATCGGAAAATCGGATTAAGGTTGGTAAGTTGGCGCCAATTTTCTGTTCGTACTATTTCTTTAACCTTTTTTTCCCTAATTTTTCGTTGTTGACGAGCTTCTGAATTATGCTAAATTCAATGTTTCGTAATAACGGGATTTCTAGGGTTTGACGTGAATTATTTGTGATAATTGGATGATTTAGTAAGTTACTTGGTAATTTATTTGGTTCAATTTTTTGATTGTTTTGTTAATAATTTCGAACCACTGAACTTGTTTAAGAATTAGGGCTTGTTTTTGGTTTATTAAATAAAACTAGTGATTGATTGACGTGATCGTGTGAATTAGTATTTAGTAATTTAATTGTTAATTGAGTTGGTGTGATTGTTGGATTGATTTGGTGATGAACTATTTATGATTTGATTGGTTAGTTTTTTTCCCCAATTTTATGGTAAATTAGGGATTTCATGTTAGCGAGGATTGATTATTATGATATTTGCTGTGGTTTAGCTGTTGCAAATGTGGAATTCTTGAGGATTAGGAGCAATGATTGTTATGAGATGAGCTTTTACTATGAGATGGAAACTGTCACCCATTGAAGTGTATTATTCTGGTTTATTCATTGTAAGGCTGATTGACTGTTAACGTGTTAAACTTGTGTTAATTACACGGTAATCACTAAATGTCATTAGTCACATTTCTGAAAACATGCTAGTCACGATTCTGATCCCAAATCATGATAAGCTGCAAAAGAACCCAAAGAAAAAAAAAGACAGCCAATAGAAGTACTACTTAGGGATAGATATGCTCAGAAAACTAAATATAAAATCGCATGAGTTTGATTGAATTATAGGGAGAACAATCAGAAAACTATTGCATGGTAATTCTAATTTCTACCACTTGATGGCGATGTAAAATGGTTGATTGCATCGGAATTAAATGGCATGAGTTTCATCCTCGTAGACACTCAAATTTAGTTTGGAAATGGCAAAATTTTTAATGAGACTAAGAAAATTCAGCAATTTGCATTGACTCCTTGAACATACATGCATCGTCTTTCATTTTTCAGTCCCTCTGTGTGTATCTTGCTTTGGTTAAGATTAATGATGTGATTTTCTGTATGATTGTTTCTGATAATGTACTGCTTCAATGATTAGTGCTTGAGCTAACCAAGTCCTTACTATTTGCAGTAGCAATGCAGCTCAGCACAATGGCATACTTCAGAAGGTCTCTATGTCAAAGACTGCTGGGTTTAAGCTCTGATTTGAACAAGAATAGGGCAACATGAGTAACATCGATGGAATTCAGAAAGCAAAGGGAGAATCCGCTTCTGTTGAAAGGTATACACAATTAGATTCAACTCAGGAAGCCTGATTGCCTACACTTGTTACAGGAAGCTAGATTCTAGAAACTAGCGGACTGTCATTTTTTAATCTTTGCATCTATGTTGTGCCTGTAGGATTAGGTGGAACACATTTGACTGTGTTTGGAGTTGAGGGCTATCATTCACTGCCAATTTGCCACTTACTGTCCTTTCTCAAATGATATTGTTCAGTGATAAAGGAGGTACAGGTACAACTTCATGCGCACATGGTTTCATTTACATTATTGGGGAGGATGGATATGCTGTTAATAATGTTCTAAAGTCCCGGAATGGTGGTGCCACATTTTGAAAGCCTTATGTTAACCTTTGTATGAATTAAACTGTATTATTAACTTAAGCACTTAGCTGACATGATAACATATGAGCTAATTGATAAGTTAATTTCAGCTTTATTGTTGATAACTGATATAATAATAATGAAGTAATACACAGAGCCATCGTATGGATTTTTTCTGTGTTCAAGAGGGGTGATATATTCACTCCTGTCCCTCTAAAGATCCCTCTAAAGATCCCATTTTGTCGGGACCTTTTTGTCTGTTGCTTTATTTGTGCCCTTAGCTAGGAAACTAGCATACCTGATGTCATGCTCTCCCAACTTTTTACCCAAAACAGAAGTCAGGATAAATTCAAAAGAGTAGTAAAAATAGTCATCAATGTAGTTGCATATTATGTATGGGGTTATGGGCTTTCATGAATGCTTGTACTCAGAGAGAATTTATAAAAGTCCTTGCATGGGCATAGTCATTCTAATGATTTAGGTCCCTTTTTTTCAGTTTGTCTTGGTGTATGATTGTGTAAATGATTGTACCTTGACTAAGCATGATTTTCATATAGTGAGGTAGTTTACAATTTTTAGCATTTCTTAATCATGCTGATTTTAGATTTTTCTTCTAGATTACTGTTTGACGTGTTTAGTTCTCATAGCAATGTAGACTTTCTAAAAGATTTAACTAAACTTATCTCAATGTTTCAGTCTTGAAGGAAGCATAAAACTTCTAAGGCTTGTACTTTTTAGAATAAGACTTCAATTGTGGGCCTCTAAGATGTGGGATCCTGAAAATTTAGCTTCCCACTAAGTTGGCAAGGTGAACTTCAGAAGTAGTTTATTACTTAGAAATAAGAATCATAACATTTATCTCCTTCCCAAACACTTCAAAATATCTGCTGAGGTCATGTGGATGAGTTTGGAACTTGTTATTCAATGGTGATTTCTACCTAGAATAAGGAGAGGGTAGTGAAGCCTTTAAGTGCATAATTGGAACTTTAAGTACGATGCTGGTCATGGAGACTAAAGATTATAAGATCAAGGAGATTAGTGCATGGTGTCGTGGTTTTACTTTGGGCAGAGAAGCAGAGCTGAATATAGATAATTTATTGATGCCTTTTCATTTTAATGACTAGGTATTGCCCCTTTTTATATTGACTAACTAGGTTTGAACATTATCAATAGTACCCGAGGTAAGAACATTTACGGTTTTGTTTTTTTTTCCAAGTTTGGAAAAGTTTTTGTATGATTAGCTTGGCTTTCTCCAGTAGTACAGTTTATGCGATGGAAGTCTAATATGTGCCATAGAATTCAAAATTGAAGGGTTAAAATGAGAGTAGCTACATGACAATGAAGACCCCTTCTTTCTTCTTCGTTGACTAGTCGCTAATTACCCTTGGGACATACTTCATAGTCTTATTTCTGAATTCAAGCTTGGGTTATTATTTTTTGAGGTTTTGGCAATTGCTTGATCGGCCTGGCACGGGCCTAGTCTAAGTAATACCTAGCTCATCTTAAATAATATTGTGATAGGGTAAGTAGGGTCATTCTTCTACAAGGATCAAGCCGCCCTGTGCTTATATGATCACTAATATAGATCTTTGCTTGGCTAATTTATAAAGAGGCAAGGTAAATGTTACTAATAACTAATAAGGGGCAATTTATAACTAAGGTGGAATAGGGGTTATGGACTCCCCACTAGATTATCATAACAAAGCATCAATTTATTCTAGCAGTACACAATACAATGCAACTATAATTTGTATAATCTTTCTCTAAGTTTTCCTGACTATTGCCGGCGAAAACTTCAAGGAGGTGTTGAAGCCGGTAGCAATAGCAACACTTGACCTATGAGATCTAATATAGCTAGAGTAGAAGTCTACTAGCTAGGTAGTCCTCCAATCCTGGCAAGATAGTCTTCCTCCATAGCATGCAAATATGCAATAAATCTATTAGCTTAACTACCCTCTCTTAGGGATATCTCTTTCGAGTATCCAGTTTCAAGCATAGATCAATTAGGCAACCTCAAACATACAATGAATGAAGTATAAAGGCACAATCTCAACATACCAAGTCACAAAGCAAGTATAATGCTAAACAGAAATCAACTAAGTCATAATCATCATAACCCTATGAGGGGTCATCTAATTCCTTGACCAAGAGAACTACTTACACATAATGTAAGAAAACAATTTAACTTGGCATTAGAAAGCATAAATAGACATATGAGTATTATTTTGGGAACTTCAAACTAAAAGATGAATATATTGCCAAAAAAGCTAAATATTATCAAAATAAAGATGAACAAATTAAACGTGAACAATGAAAAATTGAAGGATATAATTGTATAATTTTGATTCCCTTGGAAAGATTTGATGAAGAAAACATGAAGGCTTCCTAATATTGGATTTACAAAAGCGTGAAGTGCTTGAAGATTAAACTAAGAAAAGTTATATACGTGTTTTAAGAAAACTAAAACTAAAACTAAAACTAGAAACTAAAACTAAACTACTTTGAGGTGACTTGTGTTAACCTAAAAAATTAACACCAGTAAAAAGTGTCTAAAGAGGCTCTCTTTTAACCCTAGGGTGCACAATGGTATTTATAGGGGAGGGGGAAAATCCCAAAAAGCATAAAGTAGCTGTTGAAGAAGCAGGATGAAACGATCGTTTTTATGAGATACAACTGTTTTGAGCTTAGTGATTTCTTCTAAGTTCTAAGCCAACCAACTCCTCTGAAAATGGTTATTTTCTTTAATAGTTGGCTCTATTTTGTCAAAATGGCTCTCAGAATGGTCATTTTGCTCCTGGTCATCTATTCTTGGCTTCTTTGCTTCCTTTAGGCTAAGGGATTTTCTCTTGTTCATTTTGGGCAGGGATGAGCTCATGGTTCTCTTCTCTTATTTCCTCCTACTTTGCTGATGTGATGATGATTGTGAGGTAACTCCCATGAGCTCCATTTCTTTTTCCTCCTCCAATGTGACTCCTCAAATACTCCAAATTTCTCCAATGCATGACTTCTTATAGCTTGAATCTACACAAGGAGAAATACAAGGAAAACCAAAGCACATAAAAATGATGCAAGTATGCCCTAAATGCAATTTAAAATGATCTAAACTACACGACTCCTTATCCTATGAGCCTAAGTGAGTATAAAACACGCTTATCATTGCCACTGAGAAGTCGTGGTGATATTATTATAAAGGTTGTAGTGATCAAGACCCACTACCAACACTAGAAGGATAGCTTGTAGAATAAGGCAAATAATAGGTAGTGTGTAGAATAAAGCAAGCAATAGGTAGTGTGTTATATAAGTCATAGCATGTTACTTGTATAAGTAGCACAAGTAGAAGAGTGAAAATATTACTTACTCTAAGGTTTTGAGAGAAAACACAAGAGAGCGAGTAGTGGTAGTTAGTAGCTTGTGAGTGCAAATACTAGAGAGCTAGTAAGCTCATATAGAGTGTTTGTACATGTGGTTTGGAAGCTTTAATACAATTGTTGATTGTGTTTGAGAAGGGTAACAAAGTTACCCATAAATTGCTTGTGTTGTTTTTTGTTGTTCTTTGGCGTTGTTGTTTATTTTTGCTTGATTTCGAACCCGAATTCCTAACAAAGGTAGTGGGTTAGTTTGTGAGAAACTCTTTAATTTCTGGAGCTCTTATCTTCTGTTATCTATTTACTTTGTGAGCAGCTGAGTAGTTATCATGGATGAAGAACAAGCTGTTCAGGGTCTTTCAAGACTTTTAACTGTCAGGAATTTTATAGGCGGAGACATGGAGCCCACAATTGAATAAACTTAACTTTGGACCATCTTGGAGGTTTGAATAGAACCTAAACAAACTAGTGCATTCAGGAGTTTTGACTGGAGATAACACTTAAGATATGGATACAGTTCAGTGGATGATCTAATTGACAGAAGATATATTGTCTATTGTTTGCTGATCCGTCTTATGGCAGGATTTTAAGATTAGAATTTTGTTGTCTTTTGTGCTTTGGAGTAGATCAAGAATTCTGAATATTAATTTATCTTGTCAAACTGCAGATATGTTAGGGACTGAAAAAGAATACAACTAATCTTATTTGCTTTTGTACTCTTAAGGATCATGAAAGTTATAGAATGTTGATCGTTGTACTTCATTTCCATGGAAGTGTTTTCCTCTTGCTCAATTTTGAAATTTGTCGTATTTTGCAGATACATAACTGTTGATTCTTCTATTCCGTATCATTGTTGCTTTCAGCTCACTGAACTCAGTGAAGCTCACAGAAAGTGTAGGCAGATATTTACTAGTGTTTTGTATTATTTATCAAACATCTATATCAAGCTTTATGTAATATCTTACACTGGGATAGTGCCCAAATAAAATGACAATGCCTGGTAAGTTATAATCACACTGGAATGTAACTGATATAGCCCTACTTAGTAGGGTTCTAACCTACTGAATTTAATCTATATAGTTATATACTCTTCAGCTATCTAGCCAATAGTGTGAAAAGGGTCAGAACAAACAATCATCTGACCGACCACAAAAGGAAAATTGGATTACTTTAAGAGTAGCTATTATGTCCTCAACATATATCATAATCAGTCTGAACTCTATTCTTCAATGGCTTTCCTATTTGTAAACAACCAAGTGGAGGGACAATCGGAGCCATAAGCTCACCAAACGATTGCCAGCAGTATGGATCGTACAAGTGATAACGTGTTTGCAGTGGCTTTAATTGTATGGTATTTAATGATATGTCTGTGCATGGTAGCTCATCACTGCATGCCAAATGTACAGGCTTTACTGTGTATGTGCCTTTTATATTTTGATATGTGACACCTGATACAGCAACCGCTGTTGTTTGATTCTTGCATGTGCTTTTGTCACAATAATATTGGTCGATTACAATCGGAAGCTGAACTTCACTAACTTGAATGTTTGAAAATGATACGCCTTGCACAGATCCCGAACCACCCTGCAAAATACCGCAGTCAGAGGCATATAGATTAATTTTCTTTGCATATGGTGATAGTCTTGCTCAAGTAGAAACCAGGTATAAAATGCTATCTGGGCCTACTTTATGAACTACATTTCTTTTTAAGCTTTGAGAAATCTGATATTTTCTTTTCCATTTTTGAGTCTCGAGCCTTGTTTGAGAAGCCCTGTTCTCTTCACTTGATTATTATTGAAAGTTGATTTTTGTTGATTAAATTGGATTTAACTTTTTCAAAGCTGGTTTTCTCCGAAGTTGAAGAGTACAAGGCCTTTAGTAATAATACAAAATTACTCTGCTATGTTGTATTTTTACCTGCCATGTCTTTATGCGAACTCCAGTCATTGTGCCTTGTATGTTTACGTCTCGGACAGTGACATTCGAGACACAAGCTTTAGTGTTAAACTTTCCAAGACTTCCAATACTAATGCCATGTCCAGGTCCACAATTTACACTGTGGATGTATACATTCGAACATCCTGTTTGTATGGATATACAATCATCACCTGCATTCAGTTGTTCGTCGTTAGATACAGCCAATTTATCACGTGAACCTGTGCCATATTAGTTTTTGAGTAACCACAATTAATTTTCTTGTTTGAGCTATCTAACGCTTTTATGGAAATTGTTCATGGGCTTTGGTTGGGCAGAAGGACCAATTATAAGGTTCTAGCAGATGACATCTTTTTTTGTGGGTTTCTTGTTGTGGTCCTGTATTCATTGGCATCCTATCCCTATGGATGTAGTGGTGGTGAGTGGTGATAATTGTTTTTTGATACATGGTTGTAGGTGGTTGTAGCCCCAGAAGGCTAGAACATATTTTATACGGAAGATGGCACTTGCTAGGTGACAATGGACTAATGGTTGAACTCCTTTGCCAGGTTGGTAAATTTGGAGGTAACTCTCAGATTTAACCCCATGTATCCCATTTGCTGATTTTCTTAATGCCAAATTTCCTCTATAATTAATAGGTTCAGTTTTCTTGATCAAACTTTGGTTACTAATAGTAAATAGTTGTGATGGAGCTACTGCCTACTATTGATCCAGAATAGTAAATTTACCACAGGCAAGGCTGCTAGAGTGAATGAGCACATCTTTGGAATTTTGGAGGTGGATTCCATCAGTATTAGGACTGTCACCTGGTGACGAGACACTAAAAGAATAAACCAAGACTCCATTGCAATTGTCAAACTTGAGATGACATTGAGGACTGTTCTGAATTCTGATCCCTGTGACTGTCACATTAATGCTGCCATAAAATCTTAGCGCCTGTGCAACATGAGAGATGGAGTTAGGAGAATCTCGTGATCCTGAATTGCAGAATTATTATTGTATACAAAGTACTTAGAAATGCGAAGTTTATAATTTGGTCATTACCGTTGGCTTGTTACTAGGCATTTTTCCACTGAGCTCATTTCTCTCCTATAACAAGGTTGGCATATAGTCAGTTTTAATGGACTATAAACATGATTGGGGCAGAGATTGAAAGAGTGTATTTAATTACCGGCATTGGGGGCCTTTTTAAGACCGTGTCATTTAATGGGTTTATAATTTGCAATTCATGATCTTTTTCTGGATCATCATATGGAGCGTCAGTCCACCAAACAGAGCCACTTCCGTCGATTACGCCCTTCCCCTGTATGGTAAGTCCTACCAGCTTTGTGAAGTCCATCCACCACATCAGATTAGCTTTCCAAACGTTAGGACTTGTTGGAGCAATGATAGTCCCGTCAACCTGGAGCATATTTTAAGAAGCCAGGTTAGTACAACTCGTCAATTCCTACGGATTATTACTTCATAATTTAAACTTAAGTGCCTGTTCTATAGTGTTGCTTATACATTCGTCATAACCTGCAATAGTGTATTTACCAAAAAATAAAATAAAATAAAATAAAAATTCTGAAATAGTGCAATACCTCCCCAACGAATTAAAAAAAAAAAAGAGAACTTTGTTGTTAGTAATTACCTGAAATATAATGTTTCGTTGGCAGTAAGGACCAGAGAATGAAATGGGTCCGACAAGGAACTGATATCCTGATGGAATCAACATTGTTGATGATTGAACTTTACAAGCCGCTGCCCACGCAGCTTCGAATGCCTGCAGTGCACAATAACAGAACATATACAAGTAAGCATTAATACATTCAGTGTATCCGTAAAATATTTCTTTAAACATAAACTTTATGGTTGGTTCTCGTGTGGCAGTTTGTGCATTTGCGCATATAATTATTGCTGGAATCTATAGCCTAACTGCCGTAACTAGAAAATTTTTCCCTTTACTTTATTAACCTTGTCCTTTTTTCCTTGGTCTTCCTCTCCTCTCCACCCCCCAAAAAGCTGAGTGACCTATAGTTTTCACTATTTTCGAGGAACATGACCGTGTTTTGCAGTAAACTTAACTACCTGACTAAACTACACTTAAGTTTTTGTTTGCTATAATTAATATTTTCTAATCTCAATAGATGCATCAATTTTGACTTTTTTACACCCATGTAATTGATGTAAAAATTACATAATAGTAAAAATTATAAAATTTTGATAATTTTTTGAAAATATGCATTGTGAATATCCTAGCAACAAATAAAAAAGTATGACATTTAACATTTCATGTAAGTAACTAAACATGATTAAAGTTAGAATATATATATGTATAGTGTAAAAAGTCAAAAGTGATGCATTTGTGGAAAAGTGGAGGTAATAGGTTCCTATGAAGGGTCTTAGCAACAAAATTATTGTAATTATGGAGGTAAAGTTATCTCTGCATTTTTTTTGGAGAAATATTTATTTGTCATTGTGATTTTTTACCTTTTAACCTTTGAACTTTTATACTCTATTGATTAAATATACAAAGTGATATAAATCATCATTATTTCTAATATAACATACATATGATACTCTGTGTTTCCTAGATTAGGCATTCTGTATTGTGCAAAATGGCAATTTATGCTAATGTGAAGGCAATAGTGATAAAAACAGAAATAATTTTGCACCGAAAATACATTTTACATGAAAGAATAATTATAATTGATTTTTTAATGAAAATTGTTAAAATTCCCTGTTATTGACAGCTTTTAGGAAACAGAACAGGCATTTTGTTCTGCCCACTGAAGTATTGAAACTGAATCTAGTTCAGCTCTTCAGGAGTCCCTGTATACAAAAACCAATATGATTTTATTTTCTGCATTATTCACTGTTTTTTTTTTTTATAAGTGTATAACTAACCTAGACACCTAGTCATTTATGCTCTGCTCCAAACTGTCACTGTTTTTTTTGGACTGAGTGTTATGCTGAGTGGCCAGAATCTAAACAAGTGAGTAGTGAATTATTGTGGAGCTTAAAATTTTTACCTTAGTGTCATCAGTAGTACCATCACCCTTTGCTCCATAATTTAGCACACTGAAAATGCTGGAACCTTTCTCTGGTTCGGGTGACGGAACTTCCACTATTGGTGTAGGATTTGGCGGGGACTTGGTTTTAGGAGGCGACCCTTTATGGTATGGAGCTTTGTGAACTGGCGGAGGCAATGGTGATGGTGTATCTTTTCCCGGACTCGGCTTTGGTGGAGAATGCGGTTTCGATTTTGGTTTACTGCTGTGGTGGTGATTGGGGCTGTGATATCCATGACTTTTACTTTTTTTCTTTAGTAATGAGGCTGATAGAGGTCTACTATGTCTCCAATGTCTGTCTCTTCTAGCATTGCATATTTCAAAATTTGTAGACCAAAGGAGTATAACAGTGAGTAGCATTAATGTGAGATTTTTGAAGTCTAAACTACTCATTTTTGTGATTTTATAGCACGAATAATGGGGAGGAGAGAGAGAGAGATGAGGCTGTATGGGAGGAGGGATGGGGAGAAGAGAGAGAGAGAGAGACACACAGAGCAGGTGTTTCTTCTGATAACTAGAAGCAGAGGTGGTTGTGGTTTTTATAACTGGGGAATTTTATAACAACAGACGACTATGCATACACGAGCCAATCTTTCCATAAGGCAAGGCATATTTGTTTTATTCCTCTCCTCACTTCTTCAAAGCTACTAGCTTTTTCATCATCATTCTTCATAAATTAAATTACTTATTTAAAATTTTTTTTGGGGATAATTTTGTAATGGCCCTCAAATGCTTGACATGTGTCGCTTTCTTGTTTGCATGTGAATCATCCAGTTGTTGATACTTGATACTAATTTCTAAATTCTAAATATAATACTCCTTGATTTTATACAAATCTCAGCTAGGCAAAGCACTTTGCATTAACATTCTCGTGAAATATTCTATGTAAGCATAATGATCATGAAATATTTATAAATTTTATATTGTTTACAGCTTAAGATATTGGCCTTGTTTCCAATTATATGTACAATACAATAATCATTAAATGTGGCATTGCATTAATGTAAAATTTATCATTGGGCAAAGAGTATTTTGTTTCTACTTTGATATGTGTTTGCATTTTTACTATTTTGATTGATTATCTTGTTAAGTATGCTCATTTTGCTTCAACATTTCTCCATGTGTTTTCATCTTCTGTATTTCATAATTGAAAATGATTATGCATAATACGCCGCAGTATCTTGATTGATTTATCACAATATTTTTGATGTAAAGTTAATAGGTGCTGCCTCAAATTCTTAATCTCCCCTGTTATTTTTCATTAGGATATATTTTCCCACTTTTCTAGTGGTTTTAAATGCCAATGAGTGCACGTGACTGGATATCATCATATGGCTATAAGTTTTCAAGGGCTCTGATTGTAACAGCTCTCTATTGATCACATGCAACATTCACGGGCAAGAATTTATGTACTTAGTCTTCTCAACCAACAGCAAATACGGGGCCAGAGTATCTGTAAGTAAAGTTTTTAATACTCTTTAAGCTTTGGTATTTTCTTATAATTTGCTTGATTTATTAACAATTTTCTCAAGATTAATCCCCATGGAACCTCCCCAAGAACGTTTAAAATGTTAAGATGGAGAATTTTAATAACGATACATTAAAGGTTAGTTCATATTATTGGAAGAAATTATTAGTATCGAATTAGCAGCTTTCACAGTTCGGTAGGTTCAATTAGTAGTGTAATTTGCTAGTGTGTTGATATGATAGTTACATCAGGTGTTTCATTTACTTATATCTAAATGATAATGCAGAATAATTTAAGTGAGATTTTAAGCTTAAATAAAGATTTAACATTTAAGTATTGATTATAGTTTAGAGAGATAGATAGTTTGTGTTAAACACTTATTAGAACTACATGCGTGTTAATGGGATTAAGCTGAAAATATGCTATTTGTTGTACAATTTATGACTTAGATTAACATCAGCTACTGTCAGATCTTGGCAAAACCTGTTCTACACATAGTAATTACTGCGCTTAGGATCAGAATAGCTCCATAATTTAAAAATACTGTTACACAGCAGCCAAAATAGCCCATTGTTTTGAGCTTTACCTGGTTTGTTATGGCAGAGAATGCTCTATTTTTGTAGTACTGTGGAGAGTGGAGAATGCAATGCATAAAACAAATATTTCACTTTTCAGAATGTCAGTGATGTCATATGGACTATGTGCTATTAATACGGAGTATGTTATAATCAATTAATCATCATTTTGGAGTAAGTTGCTGAATAACAGCTGTTGAAGACCATTCTTAATGTTTCTTAATGGCTGAAGATTCAGAAATTAAAGCACAGAAGTCAGGTTTTCAAGCTACAAAATCAAAATTAGAAAAACTCAAATCAGTAATTCTGGAAAATACCAGAAAAGCTTTAGTACAATATAGCAACCCCAACAAAAATTAAGGCATCCCCTAAATTAACTACCAAAGTGAGTCATAAAGGCCCCCTAGTACAAACATCAAACCACTTTGGCCACCTTTATTGGTACGAAGTAGTAGAGTAGAGCTATAATGTTATACAAACTCGGGTTTGGTGTGTGGGGTCCAAGTGTGGTACTCAGCTATTAGTATGAACTATATTCTTGTTTTTTTGATCCAAAATGATATTGAAGTGTCAAATGCCATACATATCAGAAGGTCAAGGATCCCGAATATTGGGACGTGGGAGTTATTTGAAACTTTAACATAAAAGTTGAGACTTATCAAACGTATACCAGGGATAGGGGACATATGATGAACTCAACCACCAGTAGTTAGTAGATCAACTGTGTATTGACACCTTTTTGTGCATTGTTTGTACGATCAAAGAGCTTCCAATCACATGTAGGCAATATTACTCCGTAGTTTCAAAGATTACCTCTTCCGTCTTTATGTGCGTAAGTTGTGGGATTACACAGTCAATTAGTATCTGTAAAGGAACTGCATGAGTGTGAATGCCAGTGTGAAATTATGAATAATAATTCTTTACCATCAATTATTGTTACATAGTGAAGACATGAATAAGAATTACAAAATATTTATAATTTTATTTTAAACAAGGGCATTAGAAGATTTCTATATTCTAGCTCGGAGCACAGCATATTATGTCAGGTACAGACTTTAGGTGCATATTTTATAATAGTTATTCAAACATATTTTAAAGAATTCATTAGTTCTAACTGCAAGCATGTTGAGTTTTGGTATCAAGCAAGAAAAAATGCGACAACTTGCACAAGTACATAATAGACCTGATTTATAAAATTTTTTACTCTAGAAATTGACTAGTAAACAAAGGATTTAGAATCTTATAATCATACGTGCCTCCTGATATAGTAGCGATTGCTACTTTTAGCTGACAGATAATTTGCCTTGGCAAGCTTGTTTTCTTCCCCATACTTTCTTCTCTAGACATCAAGGTCTTGGTTGTGATAGTTATCAACTTATCATATTGTCACTTGCGAATTATTGAGACTCAAATATCTAGCAACTAGAATGAATTATGTGCAAGTGCGTACAAAGTATGAGCATTTGTGTTGTACACATCTCTACTATGGACTGCACATTCTTCTCTCTTGTAGACATTATCTAATAAGATAACCACACCAAGGCTTTAGTTGATGCAAGCTTTCTTAGGTGTATTGTATACTTTAGATTATTCATATCTTCTTGATTGGTAATTTAGTCTAATTTCGATCATGGTAATAGTTTTCGGAGTTTTAATGATTCACTCTATAGTTTGTTGTTGCTCTCATTATGGTCATAAAAGCAACATCCTGTATCCACAAGTCAGGACTGAGTGTTCTTTTACTAAAACTGTTAGTGGTATATGCTTGAAATAGGGCCATGACTTTAGGTTTGCAACTTGTTCCTTTATGATAGTGAGAAACTAATGGAAAGAATATTTTCCCTCTTTACCTGGCATTGAAAGTGAAATTTTTATACTTTTAGTCTCTCATGTTATTGCAAAAGACACCAACTCACTTATTTGGTGAATTATAGGGAATGAGTTTTTTCTATATCATCGTCTTTTGTGATTGCCTATATGTCCTTGTTAAAAATTAGGCAAGAGAATTAAATTGTGACGTCAAAGTTATGCGTAGGGCGCTAAGGAGGTATAAATTCTGAGTCCTATGAGATTTGATTATTTGAATTCTCTAAATATTTTACTAAGCTAGTTAATAAGGTGGTAATGTAAGCATAGATTCAAGAGAACACTGCAGTATAAAAATTGTTAACTGACACTATAAAGCAGAAATGATGGTGTAATACTGTAAGGTTGGTAGCTAAAGAGATTTTAAGAGGGAGGTAGCACGTCAGGTCATCCCCCAACAATCTCTCATTGTCCATAAGTCCATAACTATATGTTATCATTTTTCTCTTTGGTCTATAGGGAGCCGTAAAGGTAACAAGATCTGCAAAAATGTAAATAAGTATTGATTGTATACGTATATTTTACTAATCAGACGGGATAACATCCACACATTGTTAGGTTGATAACACCCACACATTGTTGTGTCGTGTGTGTATTATTATATTAACCAAAATTAGGTAGCCAGAAACCCTATAATACGAAGCATATCCTAGTTTTACCAAGTAGAGTAGCACGGATAGAATCGTTGAAAAATAAAAAAATGAATGTATGACCATCATAAGAGAATAATGTAGTGAAAAAAAAATCCAGAAAGGAAATATGAAGATGTGACATAGAGAGCCGTCTTTTTGTGGGATCACATGCTCGTGAACTTTAGGGTCCCTCTCGTGATCTTTAATGGGAGGGTGTTAAAGAGAAATGATTGGAGGAATGCGTTGCCTTTTATTTACTCTGTTCCTGAGCTTGTATTATTATTAATTGTAAAACTGTAGATGGAAGTGAAATGTGTTTCCTTGTGGTTGGGGAATTGGTTGTTGAAGGAAAGCTTTTAAGATATCATGTCCTTATTATGATATGCCTTGAAAGGCATGCACTAGACACACAATGACATTATTTCATCCTTCATTGGGTCCAAACAAATCAAATGGATTTTATGAGGTTTGTATTTCCTACTATATCCTCTTTCTTATTAGGGTGTGTTGTGGGTGGTTCAAGTTGAAGATGAAGATGATGAGTCTTAAGAAAATATGTATTGATCCATAATCCACAACTCTTGGCTATCATCCAATGTTAGGTCTAAAATGTTACTGAGTGCCTTCTGTATTTAGCCTTCCTAAGTTTTGATCAATGGTGGAGCCATATGTTTTTTTCCGTATGTTTTGCTCAATGGCGGAGCTAGATATTTTCGTTTGAAGGGCTAAGCTAATGTAAAAAAGAAGTGAGTTTATAATGCATTTGTGCATTTAATAATAATGTGAAGCCTGTAAACTTATAACTTGAAACTTCTCAATAGCAAATTAATTTTTTTTTTTTAATAAAACCAAAGAAGAGTTTTTAATGCATTTGAGGGATTATTAATAAAACCAAAGAAGAGTTTTTAATGCATTTGACCATTTAATAATAACACAAGGCTTGTAATTTGTAAACTAATAAACATAGAACTTGAGACCTCTACCTTTCTCATGACTAATGATTACCTCACTGCCACCAATCTAAAGCTACTTTGCATTACTTAATTGAAAATTTTATTTTTTTTATGTAGGGGTTGTAGCTAGATATGGCATTGGATTAGACATGTCCGAGGCACAAGATGACCCAACACGTAAAAAGCACGACACATTTATGGTGTAGGCATGATATGATATGACATGTTATTAAGTGTGTCGAGTATTGGATTAGGCTCAAGTAGCCTTTTTTCGGAAGAAGCAAAATATGGCACACGCTAGGGATGTCAATTTGGCACACGCTAGGGATGGGGCGGGTACAACCTTAAATCCGCCCCTGTCCCATCACCCATGACGGGTATGGTTTTCATCTCCATCCCCACCCTATCACCCGCCAAATTGAGACCCATTGGGGCGGGGATGGGACGGGTCTCCTACTTGACCCGCCCCACTGACATTCCTAGTACACGCTAAAGTCAGTAAGTTATGGTGTAGGCACACAAGCCCCCAATGGTGGCATGTAGGCTCAGGCTGAAGTGTTGTACACGATGGTTATTGAATAAAAAATAAACATGTTTGGTAAATGAAAATTTAGGAGTGGCAACTGGCAAGTGAAAATTTGAGACTGAGTTCTAATTAGTATCCCCTTATTTACTTGATGGCATGTGGCCTTTGAGGAAGTAGAAATGGAAGAATGTTATATATTTGTTGGTACATAACATGACAATTCGTAAATATTTTAAAAATTAACATTAGTACCACTGAGATGTGAAATGTATCATTGTTATTATAATAATACTGTAAATAGTTAAAATTACACTAAAGATTGTTACAATGGTATACTTTTGAAGTTAATAAATGTACCACTAGGTTGTGAAATTATTCCATTGGAGTGTAATTTTATAATAGTATTTGTAATGGTATTAAAATGACTATAGTGGTACAATTAAAACATGAAAATTAAAGTGATAATATGTTGTCCCATCACCTTTTTGTTGTACTAAGTTACCATTATGCCCCTGTTATGTATCAATAGGTACATAACTTTCCTCCCTTTAAAATGCCTCGTGGTCTTTTGGAGGCAAACAATAAAATTGACCAATCATCTTACACGTCTGCTTATCAATCAGATAACCCTATTCATATGCTTTATTACTAAATTTATTACTCTCTCCGTTTCGTAAAAATTTTAGCACTTTGACTTTTGTACTTTTCATATGTTTATTTTGACTATAAATTTCACTAATATATACAAAACATATGTTAGCATATAAAATATTTTTGGATTAGTCTTTAAGTATATTTCGTTACATTAACCTTTTTATACCTTTTAATCATATATAATTACAAATATTAATGATCAAAGTTGTGCATTGACATGTGTGTCGATCAAAGTGTTACATTTATTATGAAACGGATGGAGTAATAAATAATAATAAGATGGTGGGGTTAAACTCAATTAAAGAATGAGGACTATCTATCTCAAACCCAACTCATTTAAATTTTCTTATTCTCACAAAAAAAGTTGAAACATAATGAGAGATGACCTCTTATAGTCTTATACCTCTTAATCCTCTTATAGTCTTATATCCCATCCCAAACCCACTAATTTGTTAAACAACGAAATTCTCGGTAATTTCAAATGCAGAGGTTGTTAGAACATTTTGGAGGATAAAATAAGAGGGATCGGATATTTCTTCTAGACACGATATTTCTTCTAGACACGTAACTTAATGTCGCTTTTTTAATAGTTTATTATCGCCCTTTTACGAAATAATAGGGTGAACACGATAAAACTATTGAGATACAAAGGAGATATCAATTGATTTAGGTTGTTTAACTAAATCAATCTACAAGAAGTTTGTGAATAAGTGTTGTAAAATTTAAAAGAAAATAGTCTAGAAAATTTTCTCAAAGGAAGCAAGATAAATGATGTTTGATTCTTTTTCATCTTTTTTCATACATTCACATTAGGAACTATCTCTATATATAGAGAAAGAGGGATATACATTAAAGAGTGTCCCTCAAAGAGGCATGCCTTTTCACCCAAAAGACATTAATGTAACTTAACTATAATAAATATCATAATTAACTACTTACGTTACTAAGTACATGAAAAGCTAACAAAAGACATGTATTTTCACTCAAAAAAACATCATTGTAATTAAATATTCAATTACGTTCCCTTGTTATTTTTCTTATTTATACTCCTCTCATAACAAGACCATATCATTAATTTCCACAATTTTTAACGATATTAATGTGAATCCAGAAACAGATTTAATATATAAATGTTCCAACAGTGGTGGTTTATATGTATTCCAACCAAAATTATTACTTGGTAGCATCCAAACCATAATTATTCAATTTTGTACTTCATCATGTTGGTAAATTATGTTCTCCGATCCATATCATTATTATTGTTCCCTCAATCTAATAGACCCCACCTTAGGTAATATTTATCATCGTTGTATCTTCCTTTGTTGTTAGTTATGAATTGTTAATCCAGTTACATCCAATTAATGTGAAAGGGACACCAAATGTTCCAAAGTAATCCAACTCAATTCTATATGTTGAATATAATGCTTCCTTTCTTTGGATTTGAGGTCAATTGCAATCCTTTGTTTGATAGTTCACATGCATGTGGCATTCATCACCTTTGTTACCTTCTTCAAACGCAGACATTGACATAAAGTTGTTATTCCTAGAGATGTCTTGATCATCTTGTGATTATCAATTGCCATCCCCAAACCTTTGTTTCGTTACTTAAAAAATGGTACAGTAAAATCAAATATACCTTCTTTGTTTCTTTTTTTTTGTTCTATTTGAATACTTGCAACACTTTTTATTTTGACAATGACTCCACTCCCTTTGTTTTCAACTAAGTGCGTGCATCACTTGTTTTATTCTACCGTTTTTAAATAAGTGCACCATTCCTTAAATGGAAATTATTATTATTATTATTATTATTATTATTATTATTATTATTATTTTTCTCTCGTCTTACAAGCTTTGTTATTTTTAATTTTCTTCTGTTACGATATATGAGAAAGATTTGATATGATTTGGTTAGGATACTTAGTTGGCAAAGATAAGTTATATGTTAAGTAGATAATATTCTTAATATTCTTGCCATAATTATCTTGTACTCGATTATATATTTCAGCCAAGAGCCATGAATGAAGGCTAAGCAAATATTCTTGATTATTGTTTCACATGGTATCAAGAGTCATAATTTCTTAACCGTAATCTATAGCAATGGTAAGTGATACACCGCCGCCGCCACCTCCACCACCATAAAAAATTGAACCAAACTCCCCGTTTTACCTAGGTTCGCAAGATCGTCTAGGTGATTTTATAACACCGACTCGCCTTAAGGGTGATAACTATGATGGTTGGGCTGCCAATATTCGTATGGCATTAGAAGCACGGCGGAAATATGAATTTTTGGATGGCACAATAACTGGTCTGATACCTCCTTGTACTCAGTCGGATTGGAACACCATTAATGCAATGTTAATAACAATTGATCCGGAGGTCAAATCCACCTTGACTAAATATCGAGAAGCCAAGAAGCTCTGGGATCATCTCCAACAACGCTTTGCTTTGGTTAATGGTCCGCGATTCCATCAATTAAAGTCCTCTATTGCGCGGTGTGAACAGACAAAATCCATGTCCGTTTCAACATATTACGACCAATTGAATGCCCTGTGGGAAGAGCTTTTTCGCCATGAACCAATTATTTCATGTTCGTGCTGTTCGAAGTACAATGTAGGTGAATTACACGTCCAAAGACGAGAGACAGCTAAACTCCATGAATTCTTAATGGGGTTATACTCTGAGTAATATGCCTAATTACGTGCTAATATCCTTTCACAAGATCCCCTACCATCTATTGATAGAGCATATCAATTAGCTGTTCAAGATGAGCGAGTTCGTCTCGCTAAAGCCATCCCTGATAAGAAGCCTTCGGAAGTAGTGGGATTTCCTCTCAAAGACAACACGGGGACTGGCCGTGGGCGTGGAAGAGGGAGCGGCAGTTCAGTGTGCTCCAAGTGTCAGAGACCTGGTCATGATGCCTCGAATTGGAGTAAACCGGTGTGCTCGCATTGCAAGAAACGTGGCCATGATGTAAGTGGCTGCTATGAGCTTCATAGGTATCCAGAGATCACCACAAGACCGACGGTGCTGGCCGTGGGAGGGGGAGTGCATATGGCAGAGGGCGTGGCTCAGTGAGAGCTAATGCCGCAAGTAGCAGCAACATTGGGTCTTCGAGCAGTGGTAGTGGTGCCTCGGAGTCGAATTCTTCTAATCAAGTATTTACCTCTGACCAGCGGAAAGCAATTGCGGGATTCTTTGGTAACACAATTCTTGACAACCGTTTGAATGGTAAGTGGATTATTGATACCGGTGCAATGCATCATATCACCGGCGATGAGACTTGGTTATTCGATGTAACCAAAATTATGCAAATTCCTGTTGGTCTTCCCAATGGAGGGACCGTGCTTGCAAAGAAGGAAGGTTCGATTCGATTGTCGACCTCAATTACTCTTAAAAATGTGTTATATGTTCCGCAATTGAGTTGCAATTTGCTTTCGGTTTCATAATTAATTGAAGATTTAAATTGTGATGTAAAATTTAATTCTTCTTTGTGTGCTATACTGGACCAAACGGGGATGCTGATTGGAACGGGAGTTAGGCAAGATGGACTTTACTACTTCGGAGAAGCTTACTCGGTATAACATATTTCTGTGAATGGAGCAACCTCTTGGTTGGAGCTATGGCACAAAAGGATGGGGCATCCTTCAGAACATGTAGTAAAGTTACTTCCCCATGTAGTTGATTTAAAGGGTAGTTTAAATAAATATTGTGAGGTTTGTTTCAAGGCTAAGCATCCTAGGGACAAGTTTTCGGCTAGTGATAGTAGAGCAAGTCGTATTTTTGAAAAAGTACATTGTGATTTGTGGGGTTTCTATAGGCATCCTTCGTCTTGTGGAGCTCGTTATGTTTTAACTGCAGTTGATGATTATTCTCGTGCCGTGTGGGTTTATTTGTTGGATGATAAAACGGAAGTTTCCGTATTTTTATGAGTTTTATTGCCATGGTTGATCGTCAATTCTCACAAACGATAAAAATTGTGCAAAGTGATAATGGTACGGAATTTAATTGTTTACATGATTATTTTTCCGCTACCGGCATTTTATTTTACACTTCTTGTGTTGGGACACCACAACAAAATGCTAGAGTTGAGCGAAAACACAAACACATTTTAAATGTAGCCCGTGCCTTACGATTTCAAGCTCATTTACCGATTTATTTTAGGGGAGAATGTGTTCTTGCCGCTGCACATTTAATTAACCGGACCCCAACTCCTTTGTTACAAAATAAAACACCCTTTGAATTATATTTGGCTTTCCTCCATCTTATAATGTCATCCACACTTTTGGTTGCTTATGTTTTGCTCACAATCAAAAAACGAAGGGGGATAAATTTGAGAGTCGTAGTAGAAAGTGTGTTTTCTTGGGGTATCTCTTTGGTAAGAAAGGGTGGTCCTTATATGACCTTGAAAAGCAGGAATTTTTAGTGTCACGGGATGTGAAATTCTTTGAGAATGTTTTCACGTTTATTGATGCAAACATGCTGAATATTGAGCCAGAGAGGGTTGTCCCTATGTATGATGATGTCGTGGTAGACGACGATTTTATTGATGATGCTAGTACAGGGGATACGGCACAACAAGGGTCTCCATCGGGCGATGGATGCCTGGCCGACCAGCAGGGCTTTCCTATTGCCCAGCCTGCTGGCCGACCAGCGCCCGAGTAGCATCAGCAGCGAAGGCAGCAGGGCCAGCTAGAGCAGCTTGTGCAGTCACAACAGCTAGCGCAACCCCTGCACTCGCACAGTACCGAGCCTCAAGGCAGCCAGCAGTCAGCCGAGCTTATTGATTCAGCAGGTCCGGATGAATTGGGAAGGGGTTTGCGTGTTAAAACTCCGTCGGTTCTTTTACGAGATTATGTGACTTATACTGTTATTGCCAAAAGTCCATCTTTGCCTACACCGCTTCCGCAGTAAAAGTCAGGTAATAGCACACTACATTAATTGTGATATTTTTTCTGTTAATTACCATCAATTTTTGGCAGCCATCATTTCGGGTAATGATCTGACATCTTTCAAGGAAGCAATGAGGCATGAAGATTGGCGGAAATCAATGCAAGAAGAGATCCGAGCCTTGGAAGATAATGGGACTTGGACATTGGAGGAGTTGCCCCCCGATAAACGTGCACTTATTGGTAGCCAATGGGTCTATAAGACCAAATATTTATCCAATGGTGATGTTGAACGATTGAAGGCAAGATTGGTGATTTTTATCAATCATCAAACCGAGGGCATTGACTACATTGAGACTTTTGCTCCAGTAGCAAATATGACAACTATCTGAGCTTTCTTAGCAATAGCTGCCTACAAGAATCGGAAATTACATCAGATGGATGTGCATAACGCATTTTTACATGGTGATCTTGACGAAGAGGTGTACATGAAATTGCCCCCCGGGTTCGAAAGCAAGAATCCGAAATTGGTGTGCCGATTGCAAAAGTCATCGTATGGTTTGAAGCAAGCTCCGTGTTGTTGGTTTGCAAAGCTTGTTACAGCTTTGAAAGGGTACGAGTTCCTTCAATCCTACTTTGATTATTCATTATTTACGTTCACTAAAGGGCATGTTCAAATCAATGTGTTAGTTTATGTTGATGATTTGATTATTTTTGGGAATGATTTCGGTGCGTTATTGACTTTTAAAGCCTATTTGGGTGATTGTTTTAAAATGAAAGATCTAGGGCCCTTGAACTATTTTCTTGGCATTGAGGTTGCACGGAGTGCGACAGGTTTATTTCTATGTCAGCGTAAATATACGCTAGACATAATTTCCGAGGCAGGCTTGACAGGTGCAAAGCCTAGTGATTTTCCGATATAGCAGCATCACAGATTGGGTCACACGACGGGTGATTACCTTGCGGATCCGGAGCCATACCGTCAACTTATTCGCCGATTGGTATATCTTGCTGTGACACGGCCATATTTTACCTATTCCATGCACATTCTATCCCAGTTCATGTAGAGTCCGCGTACAGAGCATTGGGAGGCGGCCTTGCGTGTGGTACGATACTTGAAGGGTACACCCGGGCAAGGATTTTGCTACGGGCAGACAGTGATTTGACGCTTCAGGGGTGGTGTGACTCGGATTGGGCTGCTTGTCCACTCACTAGACGATCATTGATAGGTTGGCTAGTGTTCTTAGGCCAATCTCCTATTTCATGGAAGACAAAGAAGCAGCCTACAGTTTCTACGTCATCGTCAGAGGCTGAATATCGTTCTATGGCAGTAGTAACTTGTGAACTGAAGTGGTTAAAAGGTTTGTTATTGAGCTTGGGAGTACATTATCCCAAAGCTATACCATTATTTTGTGAGGGCACTTGGCAAGCGACAGTTTGATTTTCTATTGTCTTCTATCCCCACCATGCTCCAACTTTAGGGGGGGGGGGGGAGGGGTGTTATGATATATGTGAAAGATTTTATATGATTTGGTTAGGATACTTAGTTGGCAAAGATAAGTTATATGTTAAGCAGATAATATTCATAATATTCTTGCCATAATTATCTTGTACTCGATTATATATTTTGGCCAAGAGCCATGAATGAACGCTATGCAAATATTCTTGATTATTGTTTCACATCTTCCTTTTTCATAGACACGTACAGTTTCACATTTGTTTGAATAAAATGTTCTCTCTAACCTTAATCAACATACTTTGTATTATATTTTGAACTTGGTCTACTTGTACAAAGAAATATTTTCTCTAAACTTTTCTAAAATTATGTGTAAATAAATTTGTTGCAAGTTTCTAGAGGTGAGAAAATATAATATCATGCGGCGGCTGGTATTTGTAGGTCGTCATTGGGCAGAATTAAAGAGAAAACAAAGAGTGATCATTTTTTATTAAATTTGGCATTTTGTATAAATAAATACATGTTATGGAATCCTTCCAAATGGAACAGATTTTGATTTTAAAAAGAGTACGCAAATTATGATCCTACAAATTAATGAATACAGCTTTTACGTTCTGCTTTTGTAAGTTGTTTAGTTTTCAACTTTTTGTCCCAACTCTTGATCAGGGACAAAACTATACTCTGTTATCATTAGAGAAAATATAAATTTTGCTAACATATACTTAAGGTGTTGTTAATTCCATAATCTACGCATGAGTCATTAGATTTAATTTTTTTTTGCTTATTAAGAGTTGCAAAGAATAGTGATGTAGACAACGATTGTTTCATGGGCATTATCTATCTATTACGCCTCACTTGAGCTAGTTAGTTGACATCTACACTTTCAAGATTGTACTGTATGTTCGTTTTTTTTTTTGGGGTTCTATGAATTGACTTATTTATTGCAGTTATTATTTTTCTTATTGATAGGTATAACCCTCAACTTATTTTTATGACCCATCATTATAGCATCATAGTAATTGTGATTATAGTGAAATGGAAGTTGTTTTAAAGAGAACAACATGCATACATCATTGTTTTTGACTTTAGTTAACATTCTTATCTTAATACATCTCAGCTCAAACAGTAACAAAGAAACAAGAAAAGAAATAAAAACAAAGAGTGACAAAGTTAGTTCACGGATCATCGTTGAAATTGGAGTTTAGATTGTGTTAAAAAAGAGAAAGCACAAGTAAAAAGCTTCCAAGGGGGATTTATTCTAGCTTACTATTATTTGTTTTTGAGTGTTAGACATGTGAATATTCAGTACCAAAATCAAATAAGATAAATTTGTTTTCTCTCTTATAATTCTCTTTCATTTATTAATTTTATTACTTTTATTTATTTGCCTCCTTTTGTATGAATTCTATTGATGCACGTACAGTAATATAGAGAGACAAAGAGGTATTTGTCTGTTATTAATTATCTATTCTTTAGAACATAAAATCGAGGGACATTGACAGTGTTGAATGACCTACAAGTTATAGGCTGTTTTTTTCCTTAGAATTCACGGATCCAAGTTTGAGGTTCAGAAATATGTCATTCACATTCACATTTCACTAAATTTATGCTTTGAGAACATAATCTCTGTTACACTTTTGACTTGCATGATCTCTTTGCTTCTCCTGCCATAATATTTATGTGAATTTGAGCGAGGAACATCATTGGTTTTTTTGACCTTTTTTTAGGTGTAAACTGTATTTCTGATGCGCATATAGCCATATATACTTTATATGTAGTAATATGGTCCCAATCACTTGTGTTTTAAAATGAAGTCACTCTGTTTCTCATCGAAGGTCATTGATTTCAGTAAATGTATCAAGTGAAAAAGCTACATGTGAGTAGTCTAATGTATAAGGTTTGGTCGGCTACTCCACATATCAGCATTACACTTTAGCTATATGAAAAAAATGACGTCTTATATTGTTTGAATATACAGTATCATATACAATTTTTTTTGTATGTCAGTCATACGAACGATCAGATCTTTTACTTTGTTTGAAAGATAGAATGACCGTTTAGTAAAAGATAACATAATTAGGATATTATTTTAGCTCAAAATTATTACTTAGTATTTTGAGCTTAGCTTTGATTGCTTAACTCGTTACTTTTTCTAAGTTGACCTGGAGTATCATATGGGCTAATAAAGCTTATTATTACCCCTTATTTTCTACACCTATAACTAAAAAGATCACCCCATAGTGATATATCTTAGTTGATGACAATTGTGTGTGTGTGCGCGTGTGCACTTGTTTTACCTCAACTGATCAAGGATTGATTCTGGTGGTCTTAAGAACAAATTCTGTCACGAAAGTACAAAGTATAAACTACGGAGTATATGAAGTTACCTAAACCAGAAAAATGCCATGCGTTGACGTGTTTAGTACTTTAAAGTGTATGAGAATGACCTCAAAGAAAATTCAAGGTTGTACCAAAGAAATTTCGGAGTTCAAGCTCACATTGTAGCACACAAGTCATACTTGTAAAACTCTTTGTTTCAACTTGTGAACATAAAAAACTTAGCTAATTTATCTATATCTATCTATAACCTATATAAAAGTCCCAAGCACCAAGACGGTAGCAAATTTACTGTTCCTTATAAACAGCGAAATACCACATTTGCCCTCTGCTTCCTTGGCTGAATTTCCAATATCACCTGGGTTAGTTTTGTCTTTTTGGTTTTTAATGGCCTACCTCTTGCTTTGCAGCCCAGTTGCCCCTTGCCCCCATTTCTCTCTCTTTCCTGCTTTTGCTCCTCCTCATCCTCACATCTCCTGATTTTGCTTTATTTCATCTACATCCGCCATTGTTGAACAAGCTTCCAGAAATGAGTCTGCTTCTCCCTCCTCTTGGATTTTGTGCAATTTTAACAAAAAATTTCGGTTTCGATCTTGTTTTTGGGTAATTTATGAGAATTAGGGCTTTTTTATTTCGTTTTTGATCATTAGCGCATAATTAGGGTTTTTCAATTCTGTTTGCTCGAAATTGTCAACATTTTGAATAGAGAGAGAAGTTGGATGTTTTAATTCAAAGTAGCAGTTGATTCACAACATCACAAGGAATCGAACAGTCGAACTTCTTCTCTAATTGATTTTCGATCAAATTTTCCTTTTGTTAAGGTAATTAATTGAACAAAATCTTCGCTAAGCTGTTATTTTGATTAAAAAAAAAGGTAGAATTTTTGAATTTATGATAGCGATTGTTTCCAGAATTTGATCGTCTTCTACGAGAATGTTCAAGCTCAAATTATGTACAATTACGTATTTTTAGCTAGAAATTGCATAATTTTACCTCTTAATTTCACACCGAGCTGACTGATGGGTGACTGGGATAATGACTTGGGAGGAAAGTCGAACAGCTTCAGTCGCGGAGATTCATACCCGGAAGAGCATGACCGGTTCCATGGCCTCCACTCCCACTGTCTAAGCTCCACTGCTGAAGTTGAAGCTCCACACCCACACGTTTATTTCCTTGTGTGTGTTTGCCTTTTGCTCTCTTTTCTGAAAAATGTTGGCTATTGGCATAGTTCTTATCTAAGGCAGCTAAAAATGCTAGGCTTAATGCTTTCTTTTTAATATAAAATCTTGTTCAGATTTTGGTACCTGAAAACGCATGAGCAACAAATTGACTGAGAGACGTGATATGTCAAATGAAAATTGGACATTTGTTTCTGAATATTTTGAAATGAATCAGAATTTTTCGATACAGTGAATGTTCTTGTGACGGTTCTGAGTAATTTCACTAGGATTGTTTTCAATCATGTCGGTGAATAATGATTTTATTAATTATAGCCAGTTCTGAATATCAATGTGTATCATTGCAGATGAATTTTCAAGTCGTGTTGGGTTTCTTGGTCTGGGAATCATGGGTTCTCCAATGGCCCAAAATCTCATTAAGGCCGGGTGAGAATTGTATGAACTATTCCTGTATAAATTTGTCAGGGTAGAATGAAGTATTTTGTCCCCGAGCTCGAGTTTTGTAGATCAAAATGATGGATTTTATTCTTAAGTATGTAGTTATTTTGAAATGAAAATGATCTGTTTTTGTTGGTTGGCCTCCTTTAGATCATTCCAAAAAAACACGTTGGCCACCACTTCGAAGAACACTGATCCGCTTTTTGTCAAGGTTAGCATGGATGGTGCTCCCTAATTAAGGAAGGTTGATCTCAGAACTTATACCACTTATCAAGAACTTTTCTCTGGCCTTGAGAAGATGTTTAGTTGCTTCACACTAGGTTATTATCTGTTACTTGTGACAATGATCCTTATAGCTTTGCTACTGCGATTTAAAATTGCCTATGAATTAGTTTGTTTACAACATTCATTGTCTCTAAAGCCTCGTGGTATTATAAAGAAGATTTGATCGGATTTCAAATGCTTTCAGGTCAATGTGGATCAAACATGACAGAAACGAAATTGAGGGATCTCCTGCATGGATCAGAATATGTTCTCACCTACGAGGACAAGGATGGTGACTGGATGCTTGTTGGAGACGTCCCATGTGAGTAAGTTTCTTTATTTGAATTGTTCCTATACACTAATCATGACAGCATCCCAGCCACCTAAACTGAATGACTAGCTGCTAGATGAGAAGAATGTAACTTGATGATTATACTAGGGACTCAAATATTCGTTGAATGGATTATATATTTACAACTTCAAACTACTTATATAATTATTAATTAAGACTAAGCTTTAGAAAATCTGATGTTTGGTTGTAGATCTATCATATGTTACACTTGAGTCTTGAATTTATGTTGCTATCCCCGTGATTGATGTGTATTGGTTACTGTAAATGGATTTTTTGATGTAGTTATGTGGGCATGGTATAAGAGACCATGCAAATCTGTAAAAATCTAGGCATGTTTATGATGGATACCCAACCAGTTTGACACCTGTGAAGCTTGTGTAACATTTAGAGTTTGAATCCTGCTTAATCAAGTGAATCTCGAGGTCTAGCTTAAACCTCAATGGGTGCAGCAAGTGCAGATTTGTATCGAGTCCCTTCTGTAACATGTAACATGTGACACTGTACTACAATTGATTGATTACATGTTAAGTGGGTATCCCTAGAATCTGCATTCAAGATAGGTTTTTGATATGGAGTTGCATGTTTTATAACCAATCGAATGACCTCATGATTGATTCTAGCTTTCTAAGTTTTGTCATATATGTACGAATTGTTTGTATGATCAACATAAAAGTCTGCATTTGTCTTAATACGAAATCTCTAATACTAGCCTTGAAATTGGATATACTCATGCTAGATTAAATACTCATGTTATTTTATACAGTATTCTCAATAAGTATTTGTATTATTCTAAAACTAGGAGTCTAACACCTACTTGGCTAGGTTCATCTTAATTTGAGTGAGGGTGGGTATTCTATGTTAAACCGATGCGAGCAGCTTCCATTTTACCAATCCTCCAAATGCCCTGATCGCAACACCCAGTTTGTCAATCCTCCAATCGCCCTGATCGCAACACCAAGTTTGCCAATCCTCCAATCCCCTGATCACATCAAATTTAATAGCTTGGTAGCTATTGATTTGATTAGCTAGCATAAAATTTTGCTTTTCAAGTAGTTAAAACCTTGATGATTAGCTCAATTTCAAATTTAGATGAATGAATATATTTATATATTTATTGAATTTGATAATGTTATACAGGAGAATACTAAGACGAAGCATCTACAATTACAGTATAAGGCGAAGGTATACGACATTCTTCAAGGAGGAAGTACGTCACGATTTATAATCATGTATAGTGTTATTGCTACCATCATCTCCAACTTGAATTTGTGTGTTTTTATGTTGTTACTCAGCTATATGTTTAATTTTCTTTCCTGTGATATTGTGTCGTTTTAGGTGGAATTCCAAGTGTGAAGTGGTCTGGGGTTGATGGAAATGATAATGTCCTCGTTATTGATTTCTATGAATTTGGTGAATTTGAATTTTGGGATTTGGGTATTGTTTATTTATGCAATTCGACTGAGATTTTGTTGATGGGTACTGTTGGATTTCCATTTAGACGGGAAACAAATTGAATTTAGTTGTGCAATTTGATCCAAAAGTGGTCACCATGCTTAGATAATTGAATCTGGTACCCTTTTGATTTCTTAATATTTAACTTGAATTCAGCTCAATTTCCATACCATAAAAGGGGTTTCCATTTCATTGAAGGGAAGGGAGAGAGGAGGGGGGGGGGGGGGAGAGAAGCATAAGAAGCAAGAGAAAGGGGAAAGGGAGAGAATGAAGGAATGAAATTAAAGCTCTTTTAGGAGACCGTTAAAGAACATAATATCTTTTCAATGACATGACAAAAATATAAATTATTAAAAAGAGAATATCTTAATTATTAACCATGACCATATAAGACAAATGAGAGGAGCGACAGAAAAAAGGAGTGAGGGAGCAAGTAGGACGAACTGAATTATCAAGATCACAATAGAAGAGTTAGAGGGAACAAAAGGGTTAGAGTCTTAGAGAGAGATGGGGAAAATGTGTCGGTAACGATGCAAGAGAAAGAAGGGAAAGAGAGAAGGAGCACTGTCAGACCGAAATGTCACTAGCAAGTAGCAACGGCAAGCTCCATTTTCTTTCTTTTTTTTTTTTTAATTCATTTGGTTGCTTATTTTTGAGAAATTATATGATTTTTTATGTTAGAATTCCGAGTTTTCCTTTTTGAAAGTAAAATGTATACCTGTTTTGACTACCTGTCTTTAGTTCGTTTTCTCTCCTTTTTAATTGCTTTGATTTCTATGAATTTGCATCGTATGTGATTTATATTCTTAGTTTAATTAATTGGTGTAATTTACAGGATTGATTTAATTTTTCTGCTTTTCTAATTTTTTGGTGTTTATTCTGTTTTCTTTGTTTTGGTATTTATGAATTTGCATTGCTTGTGATTTATATTCTCAATTTATTAATTATTGTTAATTTATTGGATTGATTTTGTATTTATTCTTTTTGCTATTAGAATGAAAGCCATATGTTGACTTAAACCAATGTCCTATTACCAATAACAGTTTAATTGCTATTGCTGAAAACTGTCCGAATTTGACAGTCTTATTAATTGAAATGTGCCCTGAAATAGGTAATGACAGCATGCAAGCAATTACTCAGGGCTGCCCCAAACTGGAATCTATATAATGGTTCTAATTTCTGACTGAGATTCATTTTCTTATGTTGTGCAGCAAGTAGAACATAGTAATGTTAGCAAAATGGGGAAGAAAGGAAGCTGGTTTTCAGCAAGTAAGAGGGTCTTTGCTCATAGCTCTAAGGAGAATGTAGCTAATGTAAGTGAATTTCTTTCAGATTCGTTATTTGTTGTTTTTTGCAGACTCGAAACTTTTGAGTTCAGGCAATCTCTGCATTTTATTGTAAAAATAAGGGATTTAAAATTTACTCATATCAGATATAATAAAGTTAACAAAGACTAATTGCAAAATCTGGCTTGATACTTGTTCATGTTAAACTGATAGGGAATAGAGAAGAAAAATAAAGAAAGGGCTCGGGAATCTAAAATTCGAGATGGCCATTCGTTCTTGCCTTTTGTCAGAGACCCAGTAGCATTGAGAATACTTAGGTGGTTGAAAGGGGGCACCAAGTTACAAAACCTGAGCAACCAAAGGCAGAACTTCCGACTCCACCTGAGCAAAAGGCAGAACCTCCGGCTCCACCTCAGCAACCAAAGACAGAACCTCCTCATGTAACTCCAATTCGATATATTTATAGCTTCTCTGAGTTATAGAAATCCCTTCCTTTCAAATGCCAAATGACACTGATGTCTTTATAATTTTGTATTCTAATACTGTAGCTACAATCTTTTGTGGCTGAAACTATCTTGTCTAATAAACTTTTTTCACTTTGGATGATTTGCAGAATTCTCGTTTAAGTCACAAGAGCTTACACCTATCTTGTTAGCAGTCTTAGCACTTAGTAGTTAGCTTGATGCTTTAAATTGCTGCTGTTGTTGAATTGTTATGGGAGAGAGGGGGAATGAGGGGGATTGGAAAAAGGAGAAGGATAGAAAAAGAGGGTAAATGGGAGAGAGGGGGAATGAGTGAGAGAGAGGAGGGCAGAAGAAAGAAGGACCGGTAAAGAGAAGGGGGGCTAGGGAGAGAGAGTGGTCGGGAGAATGAGAATGGGCAAGCCAAAAGAGAAAGATGGCGAGCCAAGAGATGGGCTGTGACTCAGAAGAGAGTGAGGGAAAAGGGGATCGGGAGAGAGGAGCCGAAGAAGAGAACGGGAGAAAGAGGTTGGGCCAAGAGAGAGAGATAAGGGTCTAAAGAGATAGAAATAGAGAAATATATAGAGAGAGAGAGGCCGGGAGAGTGATATAGAGAGAGATAGGTTGAGGGAGAGAAACTGGGAAAAATAGAGGGGTCCGTATGTGGAAGAGAGTGAGGAGGAGATGACTGGGGGGAGAAGGAGTAAGTGCAACCTATAATTTCAAAGCCTTTTAGAGGATAGAATAGGTATAGGGACAAGGAGCAGGTTAAAAAGAAAGAGATCGAGTGAGAGAAAGCTAAGAGTTTGGACCAATAAAAGAAAGAAGGAAAAATAGGAGAACAGGTGCAACCTATAAATTTTGAAGCCATTATAAAAAAAGAGGGAGTAGATAGACAAGGTTGAAGGATAAAGGGAAAGAGAGAAATAAAGGTTTCAATGCAATAGAGGATAGAAGAGGTGAGAAACACTTAAAGAGACCATTTTTAATGTTTAATTGTGGAAAAGACTTAAAAGATATGGAGGAGGAAATGGAGAAAAATTAGGATTGTGAATTGAATAAAAAAAAATGGTGAGGGACTTTTAAGGAAGAAGAAAGAGATGCAGAACTCTTTAGAGAACCATCTTTAGTATGTAATCAAGGAGTAGTAAATAACACTTTGATTTTAAATTTTGCAAACCATAAAAGTCAATTGTTAAGATATATAAAATTTATTTTTTTTTTCTTTTTTTTTTTTGTAAAACCATAGTAATATATACCTTTAGAGAGAGACAGAGGATGGGGGGAGGAGGAGTGGGAGAGAGCAAGAGAGACTGGGGAAGGAAAGGGTGAGAAAGGGAGGAGGGTGAGAAAGGGAGGAGGGTGAGATATATAGAGAAATAAAAAGGATGGGAGAGAGAGAGGGGCCAGGAGAGAGACTGAGAGGAAATCAGGAAATGGCTAGATGAAAAAGAAAGAGGAACAATGAAAGATAGAGATGACAAGCTGTGAGAAAGAGAGGGGATGCTAGGAGAGGATAGGGCATGTCGAGAAAGGAAAGGGATCGAGAGAGAGAGATAGGCGGGGCCAGGAGAGAAAGTGAGAAAAAGAAGAAGGGTCGGGAAGGAGATGGAAGAAGAGAGGGGGAAGGGGTTGGGAGAAGAGAGAGAAAGAAAGAAAAAAGAGGGGGTTGGGAAGGAAAGAGAGTAAGAGAGAAGGAAAGAAAGAGAAATAGGGCCAAGAGAGAGAGAAGGGGGTTGAAAGAGAAAGAAATAGAGCAATAAAAAAGAAAGGGGCCGAGAGAGATAGAGTAATAAAAAGGGAGAGCGAGAGAGAGAGAGAAGGAGGTTGGAAGAAAGATGGAGATAGAAAGAATCTGGAACAGAGGGACGGGGGGGGGGGAAGAGAGGGGCTAGGGGAAAAAGAAACAGATGCAACCTATAATTTTCAAAGCTTTTTAGAGGATGTAACAGGGGCAAGAAGGAATAGGAAAGAAGAAGGAAAATGAGAGAAAGAGCTTGGGCCTATAAAAGAAGGATTAAGTAAGAGGGGAGCAAATGCGACCTAGAATTCTCAATTCCATTAAAAATGATAAGAGGGAGCAGGGGACAAGGCTAGGGGGGAGATAAAGGGAAAGAGAGAGAATATGTGTGTGTGTGTGTGTGTGTGTGAGAGAGAGAGAGAGAGAGAGAGAGAGAGAGAGAGAGAGATGTTTTAGGGCAATAGAAGAAGGAAGAGGTGAAAAGCACATTAAGAGACCATTCTTAGTGTTTAATTGTGAAAGAGACTCAGAAGCTATAGAGGAAGGGACTGGAGAGAAATTAGGAATGTGAAATGAAGAAATAAAAATCGTGAGGGACTTTTAAAAAAGAGAAAGAGATAGATGAATAACTCTTTAGAAGACCATCTTTAGTATGTAAATCAAAGATTAGTTAAATGGTACTTTTCAATAAGATTCTAAATATTATAAAACCATATATAAGTTAAGTGTTAAATGTAAAGGAAGATGGAAAGTGGTGAGGAGGGGAATTGAAAAGAGGGGGGTAGATAGCATGGATTAACTTTGTAAATTATACTATATCATTAGATAAGGAAGGAGAAGAAGCAAAGGAGGGAGAGTGATAATGGTTAGCTCTACCTTATAAACCAAGATTATACTGTTAGCTTAGCTCTCCCTTAATAAAACCAGATGAGTTAAGTGTAAAAATGTAAAGGAAGATGAAAATGGAGGGAATGGTGGGGGGTGTTTAAACACAAGTGAAGATTAACTTTATTAATTTTGCAAAATCATAAGATAGGGAAGGAGGGTGGGATGGAAGAAAGGCGAAAGAGAGCGTGATAGAGATGGTTACTTAATTGCCAATTTTATGTGCTCAGAATTCAATTAATATCATTAATGTGATACTTTGTATAAAAAGTCAAATTGATTAATAACTCATTTAGAACAAAAAAAATAACCATACTAGAGAGAGGTGAGAGAGTGAGAGAGAAAGAGAGAGAGTTTGGGAAATAAAAGTATGGAAGAGAATACTTTTTAGAGTATAATTGAGTAAGGAGATGACAATACTTTTTAGAAACTTTCAAAAATGTTCAAAATCATAAAAGATGAGTGCAAGAAAGAGAAAGCTAAATGAGATGTTTAATTGTGAGGGGCTTCTAGGAAAGAGAAAGAAATAGATGAAGAACTTTTTAGAGGATCATCTTTAGTGTGTCATTAAGGATTAGGTAAATGAGATGAAGAACTTTTTAGAAGATCTCTTTAGTATGTAATTAAGGATTAGATAAATGTTACTTTTCGAAAGGATTCTAAATATTGTAAAACCATATAAGTGAAATGATAAAATGTAAATGAAGATGGAAAATAGTGAGGAGGGTAACTCAGAATAGGGGGGTGGCAAGTATCGATTAACTTTGTAAATTTTGTTATAATATTAGATAAAGGAGGGACAAAGCAAAGGAGGGAGAGTAATAGTGATTATTTTTACAAGATCTTTTACTCCTAAACCTTTTTTAAAAATATTTGCAATCTATTTTATTTTCTTTTTCCAAAAAATTTAGTTACAAAATATCCAAAGATCTACAAGATGTCTGTTATTGTTAACACTTGGATAATTATACCTAGAAATATTTTACTTTTTTAAGGGTTTCTTTTGTTTACCTTTTTTTTTTTTTTTAATAAACCATTGTTTTTAACAAATTCCCAAACAATACTAAACAATTCTTTTACCCTTATTGTTAAGTATTAAATCATCATAACTATTAAAATGCTATTAGTCTTTTAAAACTATTTTCAATCAATTTAGCAACAATCAACTTTTATTATTGCCATTATTTATATAGTTATTATAATTAAAATATAAGAATCTACAACCTAATTAAATCTTTCCGTCACTTTAGTAATAATAATCAATTTATGTAATTATTACAAATTAAATATCACCAAATTGAGGGACAGCACACTACTATCAAGACAATGTTTTTGGGATTTTTTTTCCCCCGTTTTTTGTATGAGTTCAACTAATATATATGCTGAGTATTATTTGCTGAAGAAATGTATATGAGTATTGCCAATAAAGGATACTACAAATTACTAACACAAGTCGTGAGTAATTTGTTGAAGTTACCGTACTAATCACATATAAGGGGATTAAACAATAAAATAATAACTATCACAACTGTTTAGAAGTGATAAATCAACATATAATCAAACAATTTACAAAATAATAACAAATTACGATCACCAGAATCAAAATAATGCAATAATTTCAATTCAATCAACACACCTATATATTACATTAATTCCTTGGCAGCACAATCTATTCCATCATATTTCAACTTTGATCAACGCTAACAACTATACCTAACTTTGTTACAAATAAAACATTAGAAATAATTTGCACATATAACATCGAATAATTACACATTAATCACCGAGCATAGATCACCAAATTGGGGGACCGCGTGTGGGCCAACAACTAGTTAGACATAAATGCAAGATGAAAGTATTGAATGGTTCAAGTCTGGAGATTCTTAGATGGTCTAAAATCAATGTATAAGTTTGTGGTCAAAATGATAGACTAACAAGAAGGTTAACTGGTATTACAATAAGGGTGATAAACTGATTATTTGATGTGTTTAATGCTGAATAATCAGTAGAGATGTTGTGCAATTGGGGTTTGTAGTGCCTTTGAATTTGTTATAGTTAGAATAATCGTAAAAGGTGTGGTGGTCCTTAGTTATGTTTAGTTACTCATGTTGTCCGAAATTAGTAGTCACATTCTGATATAGTAATAATATGCGACTTTTTTGGGTTAGTGAGAGGAAGAAGATAGTATTGACCCATCTAATTAAAATAATCTTTCGTAAAATCATGTCATATCCTTGATTATGGGGATGGAGACATGTATTCAATACAGAAGGAGCTGGGTAATTTTTTCCGACAAAGGGATTGACTTCCTAGTTTCTAAGTCTCTAGTCTTATTTTTCATATGACTAAATTTCCTCTAGTTTGGCCTATAATGCATCATCATGTCCTTCATATTCTTCTATAAGACCAACAACCAAACATAGCAATGATGAAAACAATAGTTATCATCTTTGTAATCCTTCCCATTGCCCCTATCCTCATACTTGGTATAAATGGAAACTCTTTAAGTAAGGGTTCATTTCTTT